ATGTTATTTGATACATTAAAGAGATGAGGAATTTGAGAGACCAAAGAGCGATTTTTTTTTTTCCTTTTTGTCTTTTTTCGTGTCCAGCAATGGATCACAGCCCTCAGTGTCACGCCCGTACCGGACCGGGACCGGCAACGGGATCGCAACCCTCAGTGTTGCTCCCACACCTCGCTCAGCCAGTGAGCGGCCGGTCTGTATGTGGGATTCGAACCCTCAGCGGGAGCGCCGCCGCACTCCCAAGCGGCATACTGTAGCAGTGCGCCACCGGTGAGCGGCCGGTCTGTATGTGGGATCCAAACCCTCGGCGGGAGCGCCGCCGCACTCCCAAGAGGCATACTGTAGCAGTGCGCCACCAGGCCGGCCCCCAAAGAGCGATTTGACTTGACACAGCTTGTAGTCAATGGTAGACAAAAGATTTAAAACCAACTTTGTCTTACACTCTGAGCGTATTAAACACTCTGAAATATTTTTCATAATTCAAGGCCTCAGTTTCATCATCTGTATTAAAGGGTATAATATGGAAAGGACAGGAGAGTTAAAGAACTTCTAATATGTTATAAATAGTCTTTTAAATGCATCAGTTACTGGAGGATTATTATTAATAGCTAATCCAGTATTTTTCAGACCAAGCTCCCTCAAGACCATTCAGAAGGAACCCAAGGTCCTCCTTCAACCAGACTCTGCTTTTATTGGTTTTATTAGTTACATTTTGTTTAAAGAAAAGGCCCCAAGGCCACAAAATGAAGGGCCACGAAAAATGATCACATCATATAATGTTGAATATACTAATATCCTGATTTGAGCATCACATATTGCACACACATATTGATATTCAACTCTGCACCCCACAGATATGTACAATCAACTATGTTTCAATATAATTAACATATATACATGTGGAAAAAATGAAAAAAATAAAATATTCTGCTGGTCCCCCGGCAGTTGAACATAATCCTTGTTTTAAGGCTACCTTGAGCACTTACACAGTGACCGATGGGTGCGTCTTCCCCAAGCCCCTCATGAGACTGTCAAGCCCGTCAGTCAAGGTAGAAACACCTTGTTCCACCCAATGCATGTTCTGTTACTACTCCTTAAGTTTTTTCTTTCAGTTTAAGACTTCTACAAATGTCTTCTGTTAACTAAGTGTCCCAAGAAATTGAGATTACCCAATTTAGGTATGTTGGGAAGAAGCATTAATATCTCTGAGAAAGAAATTCCACTCCTTCCTTCACTACTGCCAGCCCTTAGCATCTCTCCTGGGCCTGTGCAGATAGAACATTATAAGCCAATATGTACAAAAACAAAAACACCGTAACTGTAAATGTCATTCTGCACTTTGGCACAGTTTTAAAGGTAGGTACAATCACAGGGTTGTTTTATGTTTGTTATGAAGGATTATCTGGAGGTATTTGACAGAAATGAAGTGTCAAACATCCAGAGAAAAAGGATGTGTGTTAAGGGAGAGAGATCTGATGGTAACAGAAGCTTCAAGGAACTCTGATCTAAGAAAAATTCATTCCAGAGCTACTTGTCCACCACTCACCCATCCATCCATCCAACAGACATTTTCTAGGAACCTACTGAGCTCCAGGCTTTTCAGCGCTAAGACTGTATAGAGACAAGAACTCTCCCATAGTCTAGTGTGGAGAACGGCACAGAGCAAGAAAAGAGATGAGCGCAAAATACAGGGACAGAGAAAAGATGAAGAATAACTAAGAAAGTCAGGGAAGGCTTCACAGAATATACTACGTCTGAGCTGGACCTTGGATTTATTTATCAATTTATTTAATAGGTATTTGCTGTAAAAATGTGTTCCAGGAGATTTGGCTGCAGACTAGTCAGACAGGGTTTCTGCCCTCATGGAACTTAAAGCCTAGCAGGGGTGACACCCACCAAATGAGAAGAGGGGAGGAGCATTCCAGACAAAGGACACCGACAGGTGCAGAGGGAGCGAGGCGTGAAGAGCAGGCCGATGTGAGCACCAGGGCCCCATTCAGTGTGGCCAGGTAAGCGGGGCAGACCGCAGGAGGGAAGAGTTGAAAACACCCTATGAAGGGCCATGCACTCCGGGATCTCAATTTAACCCTGGGCGTCTGGGAACCAACAGGGACTTCACATGGGCATAGTCTGGAGGGGACAAGAAGTCAGACAATGAGATCAGTAAGGCAAGAAGTAAAACAAAAGGGCAAGAGATATTGAGAGCCGTAACTCGGGGAAAGGCCAATCAGGAGAGGAACAGAAGGACCTAGGAGGCTGTGTCAGCCAGACGTGGTGACCAATCAGAATTAGGGAGAGAGAAGAAAGGAGTGAAGGATGCCTCTTAGCTTCTGACTTGGGAAAACTGGGTAGATGGTGGGACATATTGACAGTTCCATAATTTCCACACTGAGGGGTTTAGGCAAGCAATCTGGCCAGAGGATAGAGGGGCCGTTAAACTGATTCGAGCACTTCCTATAACATGTGAAAGAATAGGAAGGTCCAGTGAGCTCATGAGGGAGCTGATATAAGAAATGATGAAAGAACAGGTCCTGCATTGGGAGGATCCTGCTCAGAAGGAAAATGGACTGTGAGATCCACCTCTCTAGTACTCCTAATCCCAGACCTCCTGCCTGTCCCCCCAACACCTCTCCCCCCAAAGACTCACCTTGTGGAAGTCTTGCACTTGACTATTTTCCCTGAGAGCAAAGGGACAAATCATATAAACTAACCCATGTCATCCTCTAGTCCATAGGAGTGACACACGTGTGTGAGTGTATGTGCATATACACACATCCCTCCCCAAGAGTAGGCTAGAGCAGTTTGGGTTTTGTTATTCAATCCCATAATAAAGGTGCTTTTCTTGCTAACTGATTAGTCAACAGTTTGGTCCACAATTCTGAGCCAGGGGGAAAACGCTATGATGTTCTTCAAGTGGTCAACAATAATCCGTATTATCTTTCCTGTGTTTATGCCACCTATATGTTGGCACACCTGACACCCTGATCATAATAGTAGCAAAAGAGAGGACACTACAGTTGAGCTACCTCACACCATCCCCACTCCATCTTCTGCATCTTTCTCTCCAACTGAAGAGAGAATGATTCTCTCCGCAGTGGGGACCAGGCCAGGGGGCTTATCCCAAGAGATTCCCTTTTGGTGAACTCACCCCTAGAAGTTAGAGTTAAGTATATAAGCCCACAGAAGATTGTGACAAAGCTAAGACTAAAATGCAAGCTGTCACAGCAAACTCAAAAGCAAGCATTTCCAGGGACAACACCACATTTGGACCTTCGGCCACCGGATGGAGAGTTAAAGCAGACTGCATCTCATAGAGCATAAGCTGGTATCTCAGAGCAGCCAATAAGACTAAAATGCAAGCTGTCACAGCAAACTCAAAAGCAAGCATTTCCAGGGACAACACCACGTTTGGACCTTCGGCCACCGGATGGAGAGTTAAAGCAGACTGCATCTCATAGAGCATAAGCTGGTATCTCAGAGCAGCCAATTCAGAATCCCAAACTTAGCTAAGAATGCATCCTCACAAGATTCATCCTGATGACAACTCTGCCTATAAACACAAGTGAACAGAACAAGAAGAATAATGGGGGAAGGCTATAAAAATTAACAGGTATAAGCGACAACTGGTGAGGATTAAAAAAGAACACCATCATTACAGCACTAGAAATAATGTACTCTTCCTAATGCTTTAAAGAATCTGATTACAACACCAACAATCTTACAGTCACTTTTTGAAGATTGTAGCCAATTCAATAAGACAACTAAGGCATCTATCTTGCTTAATGTCAGTGGGTTCTTTGAGATTTTAAGAAGAGATAAGAACTATTTGCTATGGGTCAAATGTGTCCCCCAAAAGTTCATGTGTTAGAAACTTGATCCCAGGGCCGGCGTGGTGCTGCACTGCTACAGTGCGCCACTTGGGAGTGCGGCGGCGCTCCCGCCGAGGGTTCGGATCCCACATACAGACCAGCCGCTCACTGGCTGAGCGAGGTGCGGGCGCCACACTGAGGGTTGCGATCCCATCGCCAGTCCCGGTCCGGTACGGGGGCGACACTGAGGGTTGTGATCTGTTGCCGGGCATGAAAAAAAGACAAAAAGAAAAAAAAAAAAAAAAAGAAATTTGATCCCCCCTGTAACAATGTTAAGGGGATGGGAAATTCAATTATGATATTTGAAAGGTGGGTCTTTGAGAGGTGATTGGATCAGGAGGACTGTGGCCTTGTGAATGGATTAATGGATTAATCCATTCACAGAGTAATGAGTTATCATGGGTCTGAACTGGTGGCTTTATAAGGAGCATATGAGAGAGCTCTCGCCATTCTTACCAGGTGATACCCTCCATTGCTATAGAAAGTCCCCACCAAGAAGGCCCTCATCAGATGTGGTGGCTTTATAAGGAGCATATGAGAGAGCTCTCGCCATTCTTACCAGGTGATACCCTCCATCGCTATAGAAAGTCCCCACCAAGAAGGCCCTCATCAGATGTACCCCCTAGACCATGGACTTAGCCTCCAAAACTGTAAGAAATAAATTTCATTTCTTTATAAGTTACCCAGTTTCAAGTATTCTGTTATAAGCAACAGAAATGGACTACTATACTATTCTTAATATATATTTTAAATAGAAGACTCAAGGTCATTCCAAATGGCGCCTTCTCTGGGAAGAGCTGCTAGCCATCCATCCCTGTGGCTCCAGTCAGCACCCACCTCCTCAGCTCTTATACAGAAAGCTCTTAGTGGGGCAAGTCAGGGTGCATCTGGGAGTCAATGCAGTGATTAAATGCCTCTACTCTAGACTAAGAGCTGTCTGGTTTCAAATCCAAAAACTTGTATTTACTAGCAATATTACCTTCAGCAAGTTACTTAGTTTTTAAAGATGTGGTTTTCTCATTTGTAGACTGTGATAATTGCAACAACCTAATAATATTGTAGTATTACATGAGACAGTGCATATAACATGGTTATGATGGAAATAGGCACTCGGTAAGCTCTTATTAACTGACTAGATTGCTCAAGCCTGAAGCATAACGTCTGCAGACAGTAGATGCTGAATGCAGTTTCGACTTATTCATTCAGAAAGCAAATATTATTGAGGACCTACTATATACCAGACACTGTTTGAAGTTCTAGGAATATAGCCACGAACAAGGTAAAGTCCCTGACCTCACAAAGTTTTCCTTCTAATGATGAGTCAGACAATGATTGAAGCAAACCAAAATAGTCTTAGACAATGTTAAATGCTATAAAAACACACAGCAAGGTAAGAGGGTGGTGGCAATGTTAGATGAGGTAATTAGAGAAAGCCCCTCTGTAAAGCAACATTTGAGCAAAGACCTAAATGGTAAGGAGTCAGTCCTACGAGCAGAAGAAAAAGCCAGGGTAAAAGTGCTAAAGCAAGAACAAGTTCAGTGTGTTGGGTGTATTAGGATAGAAAAATGGATGAATGGATAAATTTCAATAGGATTTGAATCTCTCTCAGAGCATAATTCTATTTCTTATTATGATTCTTTTTTGAACATTCCCAATCTGTGTTATCAGTTCCTTGAGGGGTAAGGATTATGTTTTATATTTATTTGTAATCTGTGCAAGTCACTCAATAAGCAGAAGATAATCAGCTGCAAGGACCTTTTGCCTCTGCTGACTAGTAAATAAGAAAGCCCAAAGGGATTCTCTGTTCAGAATAAACACCGTCTACTAAAACATCCCTGAATAACTCCAGCCCACACTTATCACTCCTTGAACTTATAAAGCAAGCACTAGCTGTCTCACAACTCCAGTAATAGATTCTATTTCTTTTTAACTGTTTCCTAATTATATAATTTCAGTTTTACCTACTACCTCTATTATGACTTTGAGAAACTTCCAAATTTTACTTTATTGCCTGCCATGTTTCTTTACTCTTCATAGGGACACACAACAGGAACTAAAAACCAGTTGGAGAACATTTTCTTGTGAAGCTTTTTATCACCAGTTTAAAGTTAGTTTTTAACCTTATAAATATCTTAATCATTAATTCTCCCCCTTCAGAGAGCTTATTTAAAAACCACAGTTAAAACCCACAATGGATGCAAAAATTGACAGTGGCTTAATTTTGCTGAAAATGTTCAACATACTCTATTAAATCAGGAAGGCCTTTGTAGATGTCTTCATCATTAATGATTTCTTCTGTTGGGAAGGGCCTAGGAGGGAGAAAAAAAAACAAACAGATGAATGAATAACAACCAGGCTGGGCAATTACCTCTCACTAAATATGTAAGCTTGTTTGCTGCCAAAATGGTCTGATCAGTCACCATGTTTAACAATCTCTAGGGCTTCCCCCAAAGTGCCTGCCCAGTGGCTGTGTCTGGGGTCCCCCAGAGAGGCTGCAGCACCTGCTACCCCAAATCGTCTGCAGCAATTACAGCTGGTCACCACAGTCACATGTGCAGTTGGAGACATACAAATGTGCTTATCTGATCTCCCACCTACCACATAACTGCAGGGTCACCTCGTAGCACCCACTGTAGCACCCCAATTCAGAAAACAATCAGCCGTGCAGGTGCCTCTGCCTTCAGCACCCTCTCTTTTCAGCTATGAGATCTTATCTGTCAAATAATTTCATAAGGATCATCCTTCCATGACTCAGTTCACTAATACAGATGAAAATTATTAGAAGACAAAAACATTGCACCCTTTGTGATTACTGACCCTGACATACTTTTCTACACAGACTTTGAAGTACTTAAATTGTATTTTTCATTTCATTTATTGGACAATTGAGTCAACCAGGGAGAATAGGGTGTTTGCTTTACCTCCTGTTCAAGAAAATCACACTTTATCTCCTATTCCTATCATTTGGCTTCCTTGATAGCCTCATGATACTATGTACTTTTTCATAACACCAATATAATGTTCTAAATGTATGCCTAAGCTAAGAAAATCACAGTAACTACACTATAGTGCCAAACTCTTTCTTTACAGGTAGCCAGCATATGATATGTTTGATAAAAAAAAAGAGGAACCATCAAAACAATAAATAAGCTTTAAGTAATTACTAAATAATTGTATTGAAAAACAGAATTTAATGGTTTATGGATTAATATTTAAGACATCTGAGAAAACAACATGTATGTGAGAAATGCCAAAGTTTCAAAATCATTTATCATAAATTTAGGAACTTTTTATTATGTTTTTATACTAGAACCAGTCCATTGTAGAAAAATTAGAAAATATAGATAAAAATTAATAAGGAAAAAAACTTTCTGATATATATCATTCTAGAATCAAAAATACACTAATACGTAAATACTGGATCATGCTTTTTTAAAATCTGTTGTTTACATATAATAACGGGAAAGATATACTGAAGTGGAAAGATGTCAGTATATGCACTGAAGAGTGAATTAGGAGAAGTTGAACAGTTATGCAGCCTACAGACTGCTTCTATAGAGAGCTGCCAAACTTACGGCCCATTTCTAAGAAAGGATCTGCAGGGTGTCTCCCTATGGTCACTGTCTTTATACCCAGGGACTGGGCTGCCTGGCCAGTGATGGTCACTCCTTAAGACATGCTTGGAACCTCTCCCTTAGAATGTGAATGTGAGCTGGACACAGAAAAATGAAAGCAACAGAGACAGAGTGGCCCCAGGCTCACAGAGCCCTATGATGGCTGGAGACCGGAATATGGAGCCCTAAGGAAAGACGGTGAAAACAAAATCCACTCCACTTCCATGCTACTTGGCTGAATAGCTGCTGAGACTGTTTTTCTTTATTTCCTAATGTTACTTATAATACATCTTTACCTACTGATCTAACTTAAGTATGTAGTATCTGAAACAGAAAAACCCAACACAACATACACATCTTTATTTCCATAGTTATCAACTGCATAATACTCCATTGCAAGGAGACGGTACAATTAACTTAACCAATTTACTTTCAAGGTTTTAATTTATTACCAAACCTTCAATCCATATCCTTGCACATACATTTTATACTTGTCTGATTATTTCCTAAACTCCTAAAAGTTGTGAGTTATTGTTATGGTCTATTCAACAAGAAATAAACATATTATAACATCTTTTAACATATTTATTTACTTAACATTTGTTTGCCTTAATGAATCATATGCACAGAAATGTTGGAGGAAATTTTTAAAAAGAACCATGCTAGTGACAGTTATCAGTGTATTAAGAACAATATTTAGCCAACGTGTCTTATTCATCTCTACAAATAAGTTCTTACTTGCTCAACAAATTTCAAACGGGTAATGGATAACCATGCAATAAATAATCATTTCATTGAACTGAATGGGATATATGAACCACAAAGAAATGAGCTTACCTGATTCCCGTGGCCAATGCTATAGGTGTGCGAGAAAGCCGCGATAATGTTTCTATAACCTGAGAAAAGAGGAAAATGTTAATTGCATATGTATCTCAGAGGAGATACGCTGGTTTTTTCCCCCCAAAAAGCAGTAGTTTTCTCATGTAATATTAACAATGACAGCAGAAACACAAATTTGCACGTGCTAAAGAGGTGCAGAATGGGAAAAGCCATAATTGGGAAGAATACACATCTAGATTATACTTTTGTTCCTTTTTAATTTTATGACTTTAAGCAGATTACTAACCAACCTGAGTTGTAGCTTCCTTGTAAGTAAAATACAAAGTTAGACTAGGTAACACCACGCATCTAATAGCTCTACAGAATCTGGAAGATCCCGTAAAGCTGCGTTCTCCAATATACTACCCACTAGCCACACATGGCTATGTAAATTTTAATTAATTAAAATCTAGGGCCGAGCCCGTGGCGCACTCAGGAGAGTGCAGTGCTGGGAGTGCAGCAGCGCTCCCGCCACGGGTTTGGATCCTATATAGGGATGACTGGTGCGCTCACTGGCTGGGCGCGGTGCGGCCGGTCTCAAAAAGGAAAAAAAAAAAAATCTAAAAACCAAAAAATTCAGTTCCTTTGTTGCACTAGCCACATTTTAAGTGCTCAGTAGCCACATGTGTCTACTGCATTGGACTACTTAGATATCAAACATTTCCACCATCACACAAAGTGCTATTCGACAGCACTGCTGTATAGCAAAGTGGCTTAGGGAATGGGCTCTTGAGCCAGATCACGTGAGTTCAAATCCTGGCTTGGCCATTCATTGGGCACACTACTTAACTTCTCTGGGCTTTAGTTTCTTCATCTAGATAATGCCTATAATAGAACAATGATCATTAGATTAAGCTAACATGTAAAATATTTAAAGTTATCTATTCTTTATAATCACCAACTTTAAGAAAATTGCCTTATTCTGAGTGTTTTCAGGAAAAGCTTCCTAAATTACCCTTGATTATCTGTTTCAAAGATTCTTCATGGAGATCTTCAGAAGCTAAAACCTAAATGTGCTCTGCTATAGTTTTAGCATTAGTACCTAGAAATTTTACCCTTCTTTCAATCTTTTCTACCCAAGATCACCTCTTTCAAAGACTAAGTGAAGAAGCCAATAACCTAAAATGTATTTTATCATAAAGTCTGTTTTTATAATAGATACAATTTGTCCTTATTCTCAAAACTGAACAAAACAAAACTTAAAGAGGTTCTACTTTAACACCTCTTCAGATTTTTGTTTTTAAAAAGTAAAAAACAGCAAAAATCTATCTCTGAGTTGAGGTAATTTTCTAATTCCTCAGTTCAAAGACAAACAAAAAAGTAGTCTCCAACACTCTGCTGAAGACTCATAAGAGTATTAAGCACACATATACTTATCTCATAACTTACTTCAGAAGATCATACATTGTGAGAAACACATGGCTGGGGAGTAAGAATATTTAGAGCCCGGTTTCACCAGTTTTCACCTATGCTCACCTTTACTATTTCCTTTTAAAGGAAAACATACAAATGGCCAACAGGTACATGAAGAAATGCTCAGCATCATTAGTCATTAGAGAAATGCAAATCAAAACCACGATGAGGTATCATTTCATCCCAGTTAGACTGGCCATTATTAAAAAGACCAAGAATAACAAATGTTGGTGAGGATGCAGGGAAAGGGGAACCCTTCTACACAGTTGGTGGGACTGTAAATTAGCACAGCCATCATGAAAACAGTATGGAGGTTTCTCAAACAATGACAGAAAAAGCTACCATATGACCCAGCAATCCTACTACTGGATATATATCCAAAGGAATGGAAATCATCATGTCAAAGGGATACCTGCACTCCCATGTTTATTGCAGCTCTATTTACAATACCCAAGTTATGGAACCAACCTAAATGTCCATCAATGGACGACTAGATAAAGAAAACGGGGTATATATACACAATGGAATACTATGCAGCCATAATAAAGAATGAAATTCTGCCATTTGCAGCAACATGGACGAGTCTGGAG